ACAATTCCAATCTGCCAATAATAGCATTAAGTTTCTTCATTTCTTTTCGTTTCTTTCATTTTCTCACATCTATAAAGAATAATCTTATTTACGAATAATATAATAGTAATATACTATTATTGCTTGTTCGACTTTCGATGCTAAAATTATTTATGGCTGTAAAACATAAATCGCGAGGAATATAAAAATATGAAATACGGAATGAAATATATCTCTTATAGTTAACTTTTGTACAAATGCTACAGACCGATCGAATTATTTAATTACTTTTTCTATATATTTTGCAAGACTTTATAAATACGTACGATATTCGATAAAATTAAACTAGAACAGGATAATCCTACATTTTAAAAAAATGATACTAGTTCATACAAGACTGTTTTCTAATTCGAATTTCATTTGCCCTTACAAGAAAACTTATCAGCTGTTATCTGAAAAAAAAAGAAATTGTAATCAGAGTTCTTTCGTTTCTCGCCGTCTGCTAACACGAGTTGCAGAAGCAAGAACGTCGTGCGCAAGGTGTTACAAAGTCTATGACAGGTTTACCAGTTTCTCCGGCAGGCGGCGATCAGCCTTCTGTTGAGCTATTTTCAATTGGTGTATCGAAGTCACGTGGTATGACCGCGGGACGCGCCGGCAGCGCCAAGCGTATTTGGCGGGACCGCGCTTAGACGGCGTCGTCTGTGCTCCTCGTAAGTCTGTCGTGTAGTGAACCGCAAAGGCTCTCGTCGCATAATGGTGAGTATCCGCAAGTTTTCGCCGGATCCTTTAGCCATCCGTGCCTCGTAGTTGCACCATCGCGTTCTACGATGTTCAAGCTGCTTACTGGTGAAGTTTCGTGGCCGTACCCTGCAAATTAACCGTGATTTTTGCTTCCAAATAGGCTGGCGGAAAGGCGGGCAAGGACTCTGGCAAAGCAAAGGCGAAAGCGGTCTCTCGTTCGGCGAGGGCCGGCTTGCAGGTGAGTTACTCGCTTCCCGACTCACTTAGTCACTAATTAAAGGTACATCAGTGTTCTACCTTGGCAATAAGCACGTTCACAGTCGCATTGTCGGATTTTAAAGATAAACAGCTTAAATCGTAATGGTTGGCGCGAAAAATTGGAGTGTTTTAGACAAGTAATCAACAGTTTATTTTGACCAACATGAATTAATTGTCAGGAAAACAGACGGTCTAAACAGGTTCATTTGACTTTCGTTTACATGCGTCGCGATAGAAATGCGGCGAAGCTCGCAAGGAAATGTATTATTTTTTAAAGTAAAGATACGGTGGTTGTGTCTAAGTTCGGAAGTTTTCAAACGAGACGGTTGAGTCTGTTGTGTCCCCCTCTCCCTTTTCTTTCAATTCATTTATTAACCATTTTTATCGAAACAGTTTAAATGATAGCCGACGAGACGTAGTGATTAATAATTAATAAAAGAGTGATTATTTATTTTCGTAGAATCCGCATAATGATGTTTGAGTAACATCGAATGTGACAGCAAATATAACTTGGTCCTGGCGGTATTATTGTCGTATTTGGTTGCGCTTATCTGCCATCGGAACTTAATGGAAAATACGGTCGAATTTGTACGAGTTTCAAGTGATCAATTTTACAATTGATAATGATAATTTAATAAATAAATAAATACATTGACGTTCGATTTAATTTGATATTTCGGTAGCACGATAATTTTTAAACATTCTAAAAGTGAACGGAAACCGTAATTAGCTTCGCGTAACTTCTGACGATGTGAACGAATTGATAATATTTCAACGGTATATAAAATAAATATAGGACGATCACAATAGAACGACGAAACATATACCAAAGCTGGAAAGCTCGGGAAAGTCGAATCATCGCGCACCGCTCGATATCCGTTGCGTTAAAAGTGGACCGAGTTACGTATGCTATTCCATGTGCAAATGAATTTAGTTTTTTTACGGACGCTTGTATAGAATGTAACGTATATAACAAAGTGTCCTAGCAGTAAAACTGCCGTGAATATAAAGTATTGCGAAAAATCGTGTCATTGCTCCTCGTTCGATATTTCTTGCGTGAAAAGCTGCTGACGCGTGTGACCTTATGTTATTTGAACAGACATTACATATGATGCGTTCTAACCTGTAAATATTTACCTTGTCACTGGGCCAATATTGTCTTTTATTATAGGACCATTTGTGCCTATAGAAGATGTATCATAATTGTGCTTTACTTTTTAGTTTCCTGTTGGTAGGATTCATAGGCATTTGAAAAACAGAACCACAAGTCACGGTCGAGTCGGTGCTACCGCGGCAGTATACAGTGCAGCAATCTTGGAATACCTTACTGCCGAGGTGAGTGAAATATATATATATATATATACATATATATATATATGAAAGAACACATGTGGTGAAACGAAGATAGACAGTGAATGGGAGCGAGAGTGAGAAGGCGCGATGGGCGGGTGCGAGGGGAAAAGAGAGAGAAACGCACAATAGGAAGATCAGTCGTTGCAACCAGAACTGCATGCGTTGGCATCACTAGCAACTAATGGCGTCACTAACTCCAAACATGGCCGATTTTTCCCGCCTTTTTATCTACGTTATTTTTTTTTATTTTTTCTTCCATTTTTTGTGTATTATTTTTTTGCGAACGTATGTCTCTTTCATATATACAAAAAATACGGTAAAATATGTAATACAGCATACCAGTTTTACTTTTGTGTGTGTGTGTGTGCGCGCGCGCGCGCGCGTGTGTGTGTGTTTACAGGTCACAACTTAAATTGAAAGTAATTTTAAGAATATTTACGCGACTATAAATTTGTTTATATAATACTGTATTTTGTTTGTGAGGTAGAATGAATGTAAAAAATGAGCATTTAGAAAACTGACAGAATAAGATCAACGGTATGTTGTTTATAAAGAATTAATGAATAAAAAATCCTTTTCGTTTCTGCCTTTAGGTTCTAGAATTAGCAGGAAATGCCTCAAAAGATCTTAAAGTAAAACGTATCACGCCGAGACATCTTCAGCTTGCAATTCGTGGTGACGAAGAATTAGATAGTCTTATTAAAGCAACCATTGCGGGAGGAGGTATGTTATACTATAAACTATTGTATGTTAAGAATATTAGAAGTCACAGAATCTCTTAGTTATATTAAAGTTAGTATAGGTAACATTAAAAAGTAAAACTGATTGATCTGATATTCTAGAAGTCGATTAAAATATGCTATAAAAGAATATATATTTGTCAGAGCATATTACATTCAACACAAGTGTGCATTATCTAACTGTATTAAATGAAATTATGTCGCAATTTACTTCCTGCTAAATGTGTGAGAAGCGCATAAATAGAAAGTACATTTTAGAATTAATTACAATCTAGGGTCTTGAGAAGTAGCACAATATGTTTCCATTCTATGTATACCGAATTGAAAATTGTTTAATGTTATACTGTTTGTTTGTTACAGGTGTTATTCCACATATCCATAAATCGTTGATTGGCAAAAAAGGCTCGCAAAAGCCAGCATAATTTAGTGATTCATTCAGGAACATTTGAAGCTACGTAGGCAAAGAACAAGAGATGCAAAACAGCAGTGATTGTTGACAAAGTGTACCTATGTTATTACATTGATGGCGAGACTGGCGTGATATAAATATATATATATGAATATATATATAGATATATAGATATATAGATATATAAATAAAAACAAATATTGATATAATTTAATATAGGTAAATGAGAATTAAGGAAGAAACAAATTTTCACCGTACAATTGGCATATTACGAAAGGAGGAAAACTAATAATTATAGGTCTGATATGAAGAAATAAATTTTAGTGTACACTGTATACTGCAAATAGTTGACGAGCGATGCGTTGTAGCATGGCTCGTTAAAGTTGCAGAAATTTTTGGTATAGTACACATCCTGAAAGTTGGAGTATTTAAGGACTGGGATGTGTAAGTCCATTTGAAAATTTCGTTTTCTTTCTCTTTATTACATTGATGGTGTTAACTTTATCTGTTTTTTTTCTTTTTTAAACGACCGCGTATTACTAACGCTATTTTCTTAAAATTTGCTATTTGGATATAGCATACTTATTGTTCTAAAAATGCTGTATGATATGCGCAAGTATTAAGTAGAATTCAGTACTTTCAATATTTAACATATTCAATTTTTACCCATATCTATATGTCTAATACTCCACTCGTGTGGACATAAGTGGGAATAAATAATCATTCTTGTTATTAAATACTCTGAACTATCTTGAAACAGTCAACAGTGCGTATGAACGTTTCTAGAGAACAATTTTTATTTTGAACTATTTATCTACAAGTTTAGGTTGCTAAATATCTTATTCAGTTTTTAAAGTTTTCAGTCATCATATTTGAATGGTATTGTACAGGAATGTTCCGTGAAAGTGTACACTAGTATATTTAAGAAATTTGAAACGTACGAAGAAATTTTATTTCGGAATTTCGAATTAAATCAGATTTACAAAAATAAACAGTAATTTTCCTTATTTTATGATGAACACCAAAAAGTTACTGCAATGATCATTCACTATATAGTATTAAATGTTAAGTTGTGTATAAATTCATAATATGCTACTGAATGATGATTTTCAAAGAAATGTTGATTGTGTTCAAAGTTTGTTGTACACTTCTGTATATTTTGCCCTGTACAAGGAATATTTTATGAACTATTTCTTTTCACATTGTTTCACAGATGTTCTGCTAACTTTTCAAGACTCTGATCTGGTCTGAACTTAAATAATCTAGTTTTATGTCACAGTGTATTGAGAATTATGAGACTGGAATCTTTGATGCACGAAAAACTTTTCCACCGATATAAAAGTGTGAAGAAAAATATTTCGGAATCACCGAATCTTTGATGTAATATCATAATGTCTATTCCAGTAGTATTCAAGTGTAAAATCTAAACCATATTAAGCAAATTTTAAAGCAGTTTGAAACGTACATGGAGTATACGTTTATAAGGAAAAACAAGTAGTTTTTGGTTTCCTTGGCATCATGTCATTCTTTATTTACTATTCATGAAATTGTTGATATTTGCGGCATTTAGTGTAATTTTCATTGTATCTACGGTAACGCACCGTATATTAAATACACGAGCCATATGTAAAACGTTCATTTTTCATAATAAAGAAAAATTTTACTATTAAATATTTCCTGATCATTAAAG